AACTGTACTACAGTTGTTGTCAAATGAATGAATGAATAACTTTGAAAAAGTTTATAGTTTTTTGGTATCATAAGCTTAATTCCAACAATAAGATAGAAGTTTAACAACATTAATGTGTATAACAATAAATGGTGATTGACAACTGAACCAGATTAAATTTCTCTAACAGATAAAGAATATTGTTTGACTACTTATAACCTGCCTTCCTTCCCTATTCCCATTTTAAACCAATCTTTATTTGATGCCTATGGTCAAAATTCATCATCTGATAGAATATTTGAACCAATTTTTTATTTTTGTTTTAAAATATTTTGTACGTAATTAATTCTTTCAGAATATTTAAGGCGGGACTTTAGTTTTTGTAAGGTTCATTATGGATGACAACATCCATTATTTAGTGTGTCCACTATTTAGAGGTAAATATAATAAATGTCCTATTTGAAGAATCTGAGGATTGTAAAAATGTCCGTTAAGTAGAAATATCCACTATTCAAGAATGTCCGTTAATGGAAATTTCACTGTGATTAGTGTAGTGGTCCTCAACCTTTTAGGACTCGTGGTACACTTAAGCAATCATGCAAATGTTGCAGCACATTACAGTAGAACCTCGAAAACTCGGCCCAATGTGGACCGAAGGGTGGCCGAGTTTGTGAAAATGCTGGGTTATCGGGAATGGAGTATTATTTTCATTACATAAAAGTGTAGTCAGTTTTCTACTCAAACATCAGAATTCAGATTCATAATATAAGATATCATTCCATGTTTCACATTACAAAATAAAAGTGGGTCTAAAATTGTTTTAAATGTAAATAAAACATTTACCTGCAGTTGTAGTCTCTTGTTTTCTAACTGAAGTTTTTCATTTAGTTTATCTGAAGTATTTTCATCATTTTCTTCAGTTGTTTTTTCTGTCATGGCAAGGTTCACGGAAGACTCCACTAGAGCTATATAAAAAAATACATTATAAGTCAAAACATGTCAAAATAATTATTTTTTTCATACTATATAACATTTCTCACAAAAACAGATGGAATTGAACATATAAGATTTTCAATAACAGCCGATTGTAATAATTTAGCCAATTTACAGGATAAAACACCGAGAATACTCAAACAAAACAGTCATCTTTATTTCAGATGAAAAAAGAACAGTTCAGCAATTAAATAATCTTACCATTGGTTTTTCTTTCTTCAGGAAGTTTTCTTTCCCTAAT